TCCCTATCTTGATAAATTTGTGATTGTCTTCATTGATGATATTCTGATATATTCTAGGAYGGAAGAAGAACATGCACATCATTTGAGATTACTTCTGGAACTGTTAAAGTAAGAAAAATTGTATGCCAAGATGTCAAAGTGTGAATTTTGGCTGCGAGAAGTTCAGTTTTTGGGACATGTTATCTCAAAAGAAGTGATTAAAGTAGATCCACTCAAGATTGAAGCTATTGAAAAATGGGAAGTTCCAAAGACTCCAACTGAAGTCAGAAGTTTTATTGGATTAGCTGGGTATTATGGTAAATTTATACAAGATTTTTCTTGAATAGCTACTCCATTAACGAAGTTGACTAAGAAGAATGTGAAATATGAGTGGGATGAAGCGCAAGCTCAGGCTTTTCAAATATTGAAAGATAAGTTATGCAATGCACCAATTCTATCTTTACCAGATGGAATGTAAGATTTTGTAGTTTATAGTGACGCGTCAAAGATGGGTTTGGGTTGTGTACTAATGCAACGTGGAAAGGTAATAGCTTATGCTTCTAGACAGTTAAAAGATCATGAAAGGCAGTATCCTACTCACAATATGGAGTTAGCGGCAGTAATGTTTGCTTTGAAGATATGGAGACATTATTTATATGGAACGAAATGCCAAATCTTCACAGATCATAAGAGCTTGCAACATCTGTTCCATCAGAATGATCTAAACATGCGTCAGAGAAGATGGTTGGAATTGGTAAGTGATTATGATTGTGAAATTTTGTATCATCCAGGAAAGGCAAATGTAGTAGCCGATGCATTAAGCCGACAAGAGAAAAGTGGAACCATCAAAGCTATAACATTACGAGTTGAGTTATTACCCAGTATTCAAGAAGAGTTACAAGAATTTCAACATGAGGCAATGAAGGAAGATAAGATTAAACAGGAAAGATTGGGTGGATTAATATCCGATCTAGTGAGAGATGACAGAGAATTTTGGAAGTTCCAGAACAGAATTTGGGTACCATGCTATGGTGATCTCAGAAAGCGTATTCTGAATGAGGCTCATAAGTCACGTTTTGCAATACATCCAGGTACAAATAAAATGTATCGGGATTTGAAGCAACATTATTGGTGGCCAGGTATGAAGAAAGATATTGCTAAATATCTTGAGCAATGCCTGACATGTCTTCAGGTAAAGATTGAACATCAACGTCCTTATGGTAAATTACAATCTTTAGAAATTCCGGTGTGGAAATGGGATCATATCACTATGGATTTCATAACCAAATTGCCGAGAACATCGAAAGGTTATGATGCTATATGGGTGATAGTAGATTGGTTATCCAAATCTGCACATTTCTTACCTATGAAAGAATCTTATCCAATGGAAAGATTGGCAAAATTATACATTGATGAGATAGTGACACGACATGGTGTTCCTCTATCAATTGTTTCTGATAGGGATAGTCGGTTCGCTTCTATGTTTTGGAAGAGTTTCCAAAGAGAAATGGGTTCGCAAATTAAGCTAAGTACAACTTATCACCCTCAGACTGATGGACAGAGTGAACGAACTATTCAAACTTTAGAAGATATGTTGAGAGCATGTGTCATTGATTTTGGAGGATCATGGGATAGTCATTTGGCTTTGGTGAAATTTGCGTACAACAATAGCTATCATTCAAGTATTCAAGCAGCACCTTTCGAGGTTTTGTATGGACAAAAATGTCGAACTCCTTTGTGTTGGAATGAAATTGGTGAAAAACAGTTAGCTGGGCCTGAGTTAGTTCATCAAACTGCAGATAAAATTGGAGTAATACGGGAACGAATGAAAGTGGCACAAGATAGACAAAGAAGTTATGCAGATAAACGTCGGAAGCCGATTGAGTTTCAAGTGGGTGATAGAGTAATGTTGAAAATATCACCTTGGAAAGGAATAGTACGTTTTGGAAAGAGAGGGAAGTTAAGTCCAAGATATGTTGGACCATTCCCTATTATTGAAAGAGTTGGGGAAGTGGCCTACAAATTAGAACTTCCTTTGAAATTAAGTGGAATTCAAGACACGTTCCATGTGTCAAATTTGAGGAAGTGTCTAATAAGTCCAGATGTGGCAGTACCATTACCTGAGATTAAGATAGATGAAAGATTATGCTTTGAAGAAACCCCTGAACAAATTACTGACTACAAAGTAAAGAAGTTACGAAACAAAGAAATTGGGTTAGTAAAGATTCAGTGGCGCTATCATAAGGGACCAGATGCCACTTGGGAATCAGAATCGGAAATGCGGAGGAAATATCCTTATCTATTTATTTAATGGAATTCCGGGACGGAATTCTTTTAAGGAGGGAATGTTGTAATATCCGGGTTATTTTATTTGAAATATTTTAAATTTTATGTTTATATTAATATTATATATATATATATATATATAGTGTTATGTGTGAAAGTAGAGTTGGGGGGAAGAGGCGGTTCCTGCACTTGTTATAAATAGCAAGTGCGTATGAAAGGAATGATGATAGTTATTTTCTTTTGAATATTTTGAGAAGCTAAATCAATTGAGAGTAAAGGCTGAAGGAGGATTTGCAGATTTGAAGTCAAAACTCACAATCAAAGGTGAGTGCATAAAAGCTTTGAGTATACATCTGTTTGCGTACAATTAAGTAGTTTTTAGAACTGGTTATTTATGGTTTAAAGTTCATATTGTGCGGATACTACACTAAATCGTCCAAGTAGTGTCCGGATTAATATCCGGACAAATAAACCGTGTAAGAGGTGACCGGTTTACTTCTAAACCGCTCAATAGGTGACCGGATCACACCTAAACCCGTCAAGGGTTGTGCGGTGTATTGACCGGATTTTTTTAAACCGGTCAAAGGTTGGGTAACGTTTTGTCAGGACCCTTATCCGGATAGAAATTGGAATATTTCTAAGTGTTAAATCGGTTAGGCTTTGGGAGGTATATCTTCCGGATTTGTTATCCGGATAGATATGTTAGAAATAAGTTTGTGTTAAATCGGACAAGGTTGACCGGACTTCAAATCCAGATGAGGTTGACCGGACTTCAAATCCGGTTAAAGAGATCGAAGAATTTTGAAATATTTTTTAGATGAAATGGCGGTGTAACCGCGCGAGAGATAGAGAGAGAGATGAAATGGCGGTGTAACCGCGAGAGAGAGAGAGAGAAAGGGATGAAATGGCGGTGTAGTGTAACCGCGAGAGGGATGTAATGGCGGTGTAACCGCGAGAAACATAAATAAATTTATGTTTCAGAACAGGTTTGATTATCAAACTGATTATTTGGAAAGTATATTGTTTGTTTGGAAATTATACACTCACTAGACCTTTTTGGTCTAACGTTCAGTTGTTGGACTAACCGGTTTTGCAGGTCATCATACTTGCAAGATAAAGGAAAGGGAAAAGTTTAAATGATGATGACATTTGTTTATTGATATATGTATTAAAGATACATTTTGTTAGTTCATGGTTTTTAACAATACTATTTTTAGTATTATGAGTATGATGATGTGAATTATCTATACATAGAATATTTGGGTTGTTACATACTCGTTGGAAAGAAATGTGGGTTGTTACAATATGCATTCTTATATGCTAGTCTGAATTGTATTACTTTAACCCACGCCTCAAGTAATACTTTGGCTAGGGATGTTCAAGAATCTTTATTTTAGGGTTATCATTACGTTCATCTATCAATGCATAAAATGAATTGACTACCACACCTTTTATTTATCATAACAAAATGTTTGCAATTATCTAATGATTGGTTTCTCGACATATCACCAACATTTTATCTTTTTAACTTTAATTAACTAACATCACCAAGCTATTTGTCATATTCAACCTCGGAATAATTATCTTCACCACCATATAAAGATATGTATGATCTTATGAAATTATTCCAATCTTAACTAATTGTAGTAGATCTCAATATTATCTTTTTTCTAACTATTAATAATACCATGCTTTCTCTACGGACACTAATCCATATTTATATGTATTGTAATTACTTCGATAATACATACACAAGATTGTATTATAGACACTCTTGTATCACTACTGTTTTCATAATAGATTTTAATACAAAATTGAGACGTTCAAACTTTTAGTTATTTTAATAGTTAAAAATATTTTTAACAGATTCTTTAATACAAAAAGATAAGACTTCTGTTTAATAATTTACTCAAACAAATTCTACTTGTAATTCTCAAAAATTATAATATATATATATATATATATATATATTCGAAATGTTGTTGCACATCAGCAATTTCGTTGTTTGAAACTTGGAAGAGATGGCAAAGTCGGGGGTGGTTGGGCACGCAAAAAACAACACAAAAATATATTAATCAATAAAAAGGTAAAGTTATATGTTTAAATTTAATTAATAGCAATCAAACAAATAAGTCGCCACGTGATGTTGATTTGATCTCAKTCAATGTATTTTTTTCATTTTTTTCCTTCTGTTTTTCAAAATTGATCAATAGTGGGTTAGGTGGTCATTACATTTAATAAGTATATTTTAGAGGACGTTTGTGTTTATAAAACACTTTTTTTAAATAATATCGTATAAATTTTTTAATAGKACTTTTAATTTCATAAGGGTCTTAAAAAACTATTTAAGACGCCCAAACGCATCATGCTCTTTCATAAGAAACATATATGTTTGGATCCATACACTTAATTCATGTAAAGTCGTCTATTAGCAYACTTAAAGATTTATGACATTCTTGTAAACTCGATTTTGTTGAAGTGAATATTTTGACCAATCAATTGTAATTGGATGGAACAACCTTTTTGGGCACTCTGTTAACCTGTACTCGAGATAAAAAGTGGAAAGGATAATCTAAATAAAGACTAAAATTCACAYCATTTTTATTTTTCTTCAATCTTGACATAACAATCGTCCAAACTCCAAATGCCATAAAATTTCATACAATTTGATATCATCCGTTTATTAACATCTATTAGTACTRTGATATCTTTATGGAAAAACGAGTACGATGAACTCACATATCGGCATATGCCTTCTCGACTGCAAATCTTTGTGCTAGCATCGTAACTCCCATGTACCTTCCGAGCATCATGAGGCTAGCTTGCGGATTAGTTCCTGGAGAGTTGAGGAAAGTGGATCCATCCATGACTCGAAGACCTTCGACACCAATWACCTTATATTCATTGTCAATAACTCTGCCAACTTGACACCCACCATGATAATGCCAYATAGTCRTTACACTGTCCTTGCAATATTGTTCGAAGGTCGAAAATGTTAGATTGTTTGGATTCTGGTTATATGGTAGTCTTGCGTTAAGATCGAGAATATCTTGGGTCGTCATATTGGGATACTTGTAGTTCGCGAACGCTTCTGTTTCAATAGCT